AATCACAAACTTAAACATATAAGAAAATATGAAATGAGTTGAAGTCTAATAATTAAACATTACAAATCAAACTAAAACTTGGAACAAAGGAAGAAGACAACAAGTAAGAGAGGATGTGTCGGCTTGGCAACACAAACACTTGTTCTGTTATGGTATTGACTATTGTTATGTCTCTCCACAAAGCTTCCTTTAATTCCTCGTAACAGGGATATAAAGAACGTAGTGAGTTGAAGTCATTGATAAAGATTGTAATCTTAGCCCAAAGCGGTGGATGCATGGAAATTTCTGCCAAATTAGTAGCCAGGGAAATATTTATTCTTGTGTTTTTCAATTTGATTATTAGTTAATCTTGGTGTGAAAATTATCATTTCTCATCTCCCTGTTTTTTTTTTTTTTTAATCTCTTTAACCTGATTAAGCCGCATTATTGAGTTTGATACTAACCTCATCAGCCCAGGCCGACACATCAACTCTGTACAACCAGTCTTCACCAGAGATTGTTCGAAATGGTAATTCATGTACTGCCAAAACAAAACAATTCATCGTTATGAGAATAAATCGTAGCAATTGGCAGTTGCAACGAATTGCTTATGTGAATACTTACGTTCAGTGGAGGTATCATTCGCTGAAGTTAAAGAAATGCCAGGACATTGACGCACATGACGGATTATCACGGTTTGAAAATCAATTCCTTGACAGATAGTATGAAGAGTTGGCAGTTTTACGAGTCTTATTGCAACTAGTTTTGGAAGCACATTCTCCAACACCAGCTTCCGTCCCTCTGCCTGCTTCCATCCAAATACTTGCCCAAGCTGGGGGACATCTTCTATATTCACATACAAAAGTCGTGGAAGCTTACCACTTGATTCAGAAAAAAGGCATTTCAAACTTTTGCAATGCTTCACTGTTATTCCACGTAGCTCTGGGAAACATAGTTGATGCCGAGACATGGGATTTTTGTGATTCTCTTCATCCTCCATAATGCTCACTAGCTCCTCACACTCTGATATCTCTAACCTTCCTAGTTTTTGCAGCCATCTTGAGGTAGATGCACAGAAGATAAATTTCAAATGTTTGCATCCACGGATTGTTAGCATGGAAAGATTTTGAAAGCTCATGTGAATTTTTTGTTCCACACCGATATCTTCAAACTTGGGCAATTCTTGCGTGTTGGAAAGTGGTTTACCTTTCTTCTCAAGAGGTAATGCCTGTGGGTATCATTAAGATATATTAGTATTAATGATTTTCTTAGTTAATCAATCATAAATTAACTGGAAAAAGAAGTCGAAAAGAGGTTTACCTTTCTCCTTGACAGATCTTCTTGTTTTTTATGCCCATCAACCAATAAGTCCATCAAAGTTTTCAAAGGAAGTTGTGGGCATTCATTCAACCTAATATTTTCTAGATATAGTTCCTTCACAGAATAGTTTTTAGCACAAATGCCAACCATATTTGGTAAATCATCAAGGTCTAGCCTTTTCAGAGCTGGGAGATTAATATCAACCTGAACATTAAGATTCTCATCAGCACGGCATTTCCCAAAGACATGTGTCAACATTCCAGCCCTGGTGATCTCCACAGATTCTAAATGCTTAAAGTCTTTTGAATAAAAAGCTGGGAAAATGTATTCCAAGTGGCTACAGCCATAGACATGAACCTCCCGTAAGTTTGGGAAAACAGAGTTAACATTCCCACGATCATGACGATGCTCCTCATCTGTTACTATGTGCTCTAGCGCATCGCAATTTTCAACTGTCAACCATTCCAGCAATTTCAATGATGAGGCAATGGATGGCGTAAAGAGTGACTTTAACTCAGAAAATCCACCTATCAGTATCCATCTCAAACTTCTACATGGGTATAATGGTGGCGTGAAAAGACCATGAGCTCTGTTGACAACATATTTCACCTTTAATGCCTGTATTCCATACAAACATGTGAGGATTCTTCGTCTCTCATCAATTGAAAATGAATGGTACAAGTCATGGTACAGGCTTAATGTTCAAACTTTTCTGATATTACAAGAAAGATTTACTATATATGAACAAATTGGGAAAAATTAAAGAGAACAGCCTACACAAAATAATATTTATTGAAGAGATATTTAAATTTGTAATTATTTATAAGGATCAAATATAAAACTGTAATTTCAAAAATAATAAACTATTCCTAACTAAATTCTTAAATTTTCTCTAACCACATCTCACATACACTCCCTCCGTGTTTCAGGGATCAACTCCTATAATACATAACAACAAATTTCATATTTTAACAATATTGGATTAAAAGTAAAATTGTATCACTTTCAACATAAATCAACGAATCAGAAGAAAAAATGAGCTCCGTAGGTTGGTTTTATATGATTTTTGAGGGAGATATATGGTGGCATAAAAATAATGTAGAAATCAAATTGATCAAACATTACTCATAAAGTTTTTCATAGCTATAATTTTTATCTGCACACTATTTCTTATTTGTTATCAATTTTCATAATCTTTTTGTTTTGTTTTTTCTCGATCTTGATATGTTTGTATTAAAGTAAATGGTAATAAAAAAAATTTAAAGATTAAAAAATTCTAAAAAGTATCTCTAAAATTTCAAAATCTCAAATAAAAAATGACTTACAAAAATGTGTTGTCATTTACTTCTCCAATATTATCATTGCTATTAAAGTGTAGCAAACATGACCGATTTAGAATTTTAAAATTCAAAGGTAATTCTTTGGGATTCTCCCTTTTATATTAAGGGAATGGAAAATTTTAGGTAAAAATAAATATTAATAATGTTATTTAATTAATTATTTTCTATTTTCAAAAATTGAAATTGGTAAAAATATTTATAAAAGTTCTAATTCTATTTATTAAAATTAATTAAAATATATCTATTTAAATTTAAATATATATAAATATGGTAAAACGATTTATAAAAAATAAGTCAAGAAAGAGATATTTGGGGGAAAAAAGAGGGCTTTCAATTGCAACTTAAAAATTAACTATTGATTGCACAATTCATGTAGATGAATGATTTTACTTCATTGTGTGTTTAGATATATACGATATTTTAGATAGATTAATATAAATGATTTTGACTGATTTTAATACATTTCGTTTCAAATATTGATGAGAAAAGGATTATTAAAATTTTTAGTTTAAATTAGGGATTGTTAGGGACTTAGGGATAATTTATTATATTTTAAATTTATATTTTAGTATTTTCTTCTTATAATCATATCTTTTTTAGTAAATATTACTTTTTTTGGGTCCTTCCCCCAATTTTCCCAACAAAATTAAGTTCTTCTACAATCAGTAATTTATAAACAAACAAATTTTCGAGTGGGTAGCGCACAGAGAAAGACCCAAAGCAGTGTAAATATAATGTGCCAAAAACCAAACGTGCAAGTAATTTGCAGCAAATATTTGAGCAAATTTTTTGGTTTTTGCCAACTGTGCCTAGTGTCTCAATTAGATGGAAAAAAAGAGAAATGCAAAATTAATTTTGTTACTTTAAGACAAATTGATATTCTCATCATATATACAAGAAGAAGTTTAGCAAAGCATATTTGGGTGATTCATACATTATTACAAATAAAGATTTGAAACAAAATAGAGTAACAGATATTACCTGATTATGGTTTGATTGAGTGTCCATGGGAGCAGAAGTGTGACGGATAGTTGAGGCTTTTGATTTTGCCCAAAAACAACATAGATGACCCCTTGATAGACTGCTACTGCTGTCTACTTTTGCACTTGGAGATGACTTTTGAACTTCATCAGAACAAGGCCGTGGGAGATAACATTCTGCATATATGTTGATGAAATTCGGAACCTCACAAATTATCAATTCTTCTAGCGAATGGAGGATGGCTTCTTTCCCCATTTGGTGCAAATCTATGTGGTCTGGATATTGCCCAAATATGTATTTTAGTTTCTCACAATCTCCAATCATCATACTTTCTAGTAATGGAAGGTCTTCGCAAAAGCATATTGGCAATATAAATTCTAATTTAGCACAGGAGTTTATCCTGAGATATTTCAATTTTGGCAACATTGAGTCATGACTTTTTTTATTAGGATCCTGATCATCCATAGTTTCTGCTACTATGTATTTCAACTTCGAACATTTTGTAATATCCAGTTTTTCCAACTGCTTTAGACTCTGTGCCGTGGATGCATGAAAAAGGCATGTCATTGAACATTCATCTAAATATATAGACTTAAGATTACACAGCTCTAACTTGCCATCAAATAACGTGCCTTCCAATTGTTCACATCCAGATAAATGCAGCTCCTTTATTTGCTTCAAAAAGTCAACAGGATAAGGCCCATGGCATAATTCTCTCACACCCACAGACTCAAGCGTCAGTTTAACCAACTTGGAGAAGATAGCCACGTCAGGTCGGAGATTCTCAGTATGGATTAGGCACTTTATCTCATTCATTAAATGCAAAGAGAGCCTAGTTAATTGATCTTTCATGTTGTCATCTTCCACAGATAAGATGTCAGGAACAATATTTGTCCATCCTCTGTTGTAGTAATCTCGTCCTAACGTCAAAACTTCTGCTCTTGCCACAAGGAGCTTAAATATTTCATTGGAGAAGTATACTCTTAAGGCGTGTGAATTAAAATATCTAGATATTGAAAAATCCACTTTATAATCACTAAAATAAACCGGACCCCTTATGTGATACCTTTGCAACGTAGGAAGTGTTGTAATTTGCCCGTCATAATCATCCACTTTATTTGAAGCATAATACAGCTCTTCTAATTGAAAGCAACTTCCAATCACTTCAAAAGGATTATTTCTCCCAGTAAAAGAACAGTTCACCATCTCCAACAATCTCAATTTTTGAAGTTCTTTAATTTTTTTTGGCAATTCAATAATTGAACAATTGTTCAATTCAAGGCTCTCAAGGTATTTTAGATTTGCCAAAATAGATATATCTCCTAATGACTTAAAATTCTTTATGGCCAAAGTTCGAACATTTGTCAATGACAAAGGTGATTAAAATAAGGAAGCAGCTGAAATTTCCAAATCTGACGAACTCATTAAAGCCAAAATTTTAAGGTTCTCCATCCCTTCAAAGATAGCATTAGGAACTTTGACTCTAGGAGAATTTGCATCATGGATCCAAAGTAAAAGAACCTCAAGTTTTTTGCCATCAAAATGATTCGGAAAGTCAACTAGGTTCCAAGATGAATAATGGATGTTTTCCATTAAAGTTGAGTTAGAATTCATGCCCGCTTGAACCTGTTTGTTTCCAATCCATAGAGCTACCTCCCGAACCAAGTCGTGCATTTTGACACATTCATTCTTATCCTTTAATAACAAACAGGAATCTATGAGCTCATTTTTAATTGGAGTAAAATGACTTCTTGCAACAGAGTATATGTTAGCTTCTCCACAAAGGCCAACACCTATAGCAATCCTGGTTAAAAGTTCTATAGGTATTTCATAATCTTCAGGGAAGAGAGAGCACAGGAGAAAGAGTTGTTTGGCCTTTTCATTCCTGAGATAAGCATAGCTTAATCTCAAAGAGTTATAAGCCTGTTTTAACTCTTTGTCAACATCGTGAATTCTCTCATGATTCTGCAATCTTTTCAAACTATCCCGCCATTCTGGTAAAGGCCTAGACTTTAGTGCACTTGCCACTGCTACAATTGCAATTGGTAAACTTCCACACTCCTTCACAATATCTCTAGCCACATCCTTAAAATCATTGGAAGGACCATCTATGCTCATGCCAGCATAAGATAGGAAAAGATCAACTGCGTCCTTTTCTTTTAGGACCTCAAGTTGACTAGGCTCATTGCAGTCCATATCTATACAAACTCTTCGATCACGTGTGGTCAGCAAAACAGCACAACAACCCTTGCCGTGACGGCCAAGAGGAATCCCTATATCTCGCAGTGTAAGCTTTTCCCACATGTCATCTAATATTATAAGCACCTTTTTTCCACCTTCTGCTATTGTTTTCCACAATTTTTGTGCTTGTTCAGATTCCTCCATTCCTTCGGTTAAAGGCAGATCTAAGTGTTTTGCAATGTTGACCCGAATATTTTTCAAGTTTGCATCCTTTGAGACAACACTGAAGATGACTTTATCAAACAACTTTGATTCCTCGACATCTTTACCTACTTCTATTGCCATTGTGGTTTTCCCTGTTCCGCCTAGCCCATACAATCCAATCATAAACCTATTGTCGTCTTTCAATGCCTCCTTCAGCTTCTGAGAGATCAACTCTCTATCCTCAAAAGTCATAAAATTTGGACAAGAATAGAAGTCCATGCCTGGAAGCCCAGTTGAACGAGCAACACGAGCGAAGTTACTCTGTCCCATCAGTCGTTTAATCTTTTGCGTCTTCCCTTCCAGCTCCTTGCCTCGCTTGTACTGCCAAAAGCAATTAGTGACCAAACCAAACCATTTCTTCTTTCCTTTTGTGTCTTCTTCTATGAGATCTTTGGCTCTATCTAACCACAGTTCAACTTCATCTTCAACCTTATTCTCATTTCGGTGCTTGGCATCTTCAATATCTTTAAGCACTCTGTTTCTCCTTGCACTCAAACTCGTCTTCTCCTCTTCAAAGTCATCGACATAGGTCTTGTAACAACACAAGTATTTGAGTTCCTTCATTGCTTTATCTACCAATGATTCCGCGACAGGGGTAGCCACGCCCTCTCCTATTGCCTCCATCTAACATGCACGGATATGCGATGCAATTAGGCACTGTTGGCTACGCTACTATTATAAATGTTTCAACTACATCTACCATATTCTTGATAGCATCCAAGAAAAATAATTCTTTTCGTGGTGATGCGTGTAGTGAGTTTTACAATATGATTGGTCTGCTTTTAAATTCTCACGAAAGTCTACATCAAAAGGAATATTATGCATGTAATATATCAAAAGTCTAATAAATAAAAATAAGTTAAAGAAAGTTTAAGAGACAATGCATATACGCATGTATGTTTGTATACGTTCATAAAAGAAGATGCAAACATAATTCATAAGTATCATGGAATACAAATTCTTACCTCTCGAAGATTTCTATGTGCGTTACCGCTTGAATTGTTTTCTTGTAAAAGCTTTTTTTCTTTTTTCTTTTTTAAAGAAAACCAATTATGAGTCTATGAGAACAACGATTAGGCAGAAAAAAAGATTTGAACCCAGCAAATAATATACAAGATATTTTCAAATTTCTTGAAACTTGATGTAAAATGTCGCACATATCCCTTGGCTTTAACTTCCGGTGACAATGGTTTTAAAAAAAAAAAAATTGCGTTGACCAACCACCAACAACCGCTGTACGGTCAAAAATATTTTTAATAAAATAGTAAATTTATAATTTACAAAATTGAAACATAGCACATTTACAAGCAAAATTTAACTTCTTAAATTTACATGTAAATTTATATAAAAATAATAATAATTTAATATTTCCAAGTTAACTTCATATATTTAAAGGTAAATTTTCAAACAATAAATTGATTTTTTAACAAAATTAGGATTAAAAGATTATTTAATTTAAAATCATACATTTATTAAAATAAAAAATAGTTAAAATAATATATATTAAACAAGGACCATATTTATTTTGATGGTCCAAACGGTAAGCAGCACTGAAATTGAATTAGCTTTATTTGAAGATAATCACTGGTGTGGTAAAACTATAGAGAGACGCAGTTTTATGGATAACACACCTAATTTAAGACTTTTTTTTTTGGTGTACAATGGGGCAACCGCCCAAAAATCAAACACTATCAGTAACTAATCTTGGATGGCAATCACCCATAGCATCTCTATACAGCAAGTCAAGTAAACCAGTTGGTGGCTCACGTAACAGCTGCAGACCAAGATTCTTTGACAGACTCCAGTTGGCTAACCAATCTGCGCAAAAATTCCCCTCCCTATACGTATGCACAACCTTAACTTCCCAATTATCAGATATCAACCTACTAATCTGTATCATAAATCTGTCATCAGTCCTTTTCTGTACAAGAAATTCATTCAGTACTGCTACCACAGTGCGAGAGTCTGATTCAACAATTACTCTTCTATACCCACTCTCCTTCAGTAGCTTAAATCCAGACCACACACCCCAAAACTCTGCTCTCATCGCAGGACAGATTCCTATGTTATTCACAAAGCCTCCAAGCCAGTCACCATTCCCATTCCTAATCAGGCCACCGCAACCAGCTCCCCCAGTCTGTCCCTTTGCAGCACCATCTATATTAAGCTTCACCCACCCATTTTCGGGTGGCTTCCACCCATACATTCTCCATACTTTCCTATTCCCATCCATGAATTCGTTGCGACTATCCTCCACTTGCTGCACATACCTCCGTATAGTATTAATACTGATATTCCTATCATCAAACTCTTCAGAGAAAAGGGCCTGATTTCTCCAATTCCAAAGAAACCAGCAGGTGATTCCAAAAACGAGACACCATTCCCCCAAGCTATTCACATGTCTTTTGATCTTTAGGTTATTTACAAACCAGTCTTTATGCTGTAAGATAAAGAAGTCATCGACAAAGTTACCTACTTTCAATTGCTTCCAAATAGCTTTAGAGATCTCACAATCCCTTAAAGCATGCAAAACTGTCTCTCTTTCCCTTCCACACCTGCAGCACAGAGCAGATCCAATCCCAGCTTTGTTTCTCCTCTCAGATGTTACCAAACCGTCCAATGTAGCCATCCATATAAAAATTTGGATTCTTCTCGGTCCCTCCCAACTCCAAATCAACCGCCATGCAACATCCTCAGTACCCTTCTCATGTCCACATAACTGCTTATACATTTCTGCTACACTGAACTGCTTTCCTTTCCCTCCCATCCATACTACCTTGTCCCCTCCATCCTCCGCACATGGGGGTAATATAGCTAGAATTCTGCTCACCACATCTGTAGGTAGGAGCCTCTCAAATAGTTCTTTATTCCAGTTACCATTCATCACAAAGTCATTTACACACATCTCCAGATCTTCTTGTGGTGGTCTACTGGTACACCGATCAGACAAAGGAGCCTCTTTATCCACCCACTTGTCAACCCAAAAACGAGTTTTCCTTCCATCACACACCTCCCACCCTACATTTTTAATTATCTCAGGCCAGAGCACCCCCAACTTCTTCCACAAAGCAGAATCTGTACTCTTGACAATGCATTCCACAGTTAGATTCGCATTTCTGCCATACCTACTATACAAAACCTTGGCATTTAATTTCTCAGGATTAGCTATAAGGTCCCACCCAGTCTTACAAAGTAACGCTTCATTCATCTTTCGTAAATCTTTCAACCCAAACCCTCCTTCATTCTTCGGCCGACAAAAGGTTCCCCAATTCACCGTATGCATCTTCCTCTTTTCTCCCATATCTCCCCACACAAACTGCCTCTGAATCTTCTCCAACTCCTTACATACCCCAACCGGGATTTCCTCATGAAGCATGCTGAAAACTGGAATTTGTTGGGTGACCGATTGCACTAAGGTAAGTCTTCCTGCAAATGACAAGCTATTTGCTTTCCATCCACTTAACTTCTTTTGCACTTTATCTATAAGGAACTGAAATTTGCTTCTTGTCCTACGCCCCTGGTGAATATGGGATCCCAAGTATCTTCCCAGCTCCTCCTTCTCTTGAAACCCACATTGCTCCCCAAGCTTCTTTCGCTCATCTTCCTTCACATTTTTAGAGAACATGATCATTGTTTTTTGAGCATTTATCTTCTGCCCTGACATTCTTCCGAATTCCTCCAGACACTTCATAACCACCCCAAGCTGCTGTTCAGAGGCTTCACATAGCAGTAGAAGGTCATCAGCAAATAGAAGGTGTGAGATCGGTACCCCATTCCTCCCCATCCTCAGAGGTTTCCACCTGCCTTTCTGCACCTCATCCAGAATTAGATGAGTTAATTTCTCCATTCCTAATACAAACAAATACGGTGAAAGGGGATCCCCCTGCCTCACCCCTCTAGAAGGCACCAACGCCTCAGAAGCAACCCCATTCCATAAGATTTTCATAGTTGCCGATTCGAAACAGCCAGCCGCCACTTCCACAAATTTACTTGGCAACCCCATTTCTTCCAATACTTTTCTCAAAAAGCCCCAGCTCATCCTATCATATGCTTTTTCAAGGTCAATCTTTATCGCCATATACTTCTTACCACCACTCAATCTTCCCATAAAATGTGAAACTTCCCTAGCTACCACAATGCTTTCCTGAATACATCTCCCTGGCACAAAACTTGTTTGGAATGGAGAAATGAATCTTGACAAATAAGGCTTCAACCGGTTCACCAACACCTTTGAGAGTACTTTATAGACCACGTTGCATAAGGAAATGGGACGAAGGTTTGCCACTGTTTCTACTCTGTCACTCTTGGGGATCAGCACAATCAATGTGTTGTTCACCTCTCCAATTCTTCTCGGTTCCTGCCAGAGCTTTTTAACTAGTTTGACTACATCTTCCCCCACAATGTCCCAGTTTTTATGGAAGAAGACCGCTGGGAATCCATCCTCACTAGGCGCCTTGAACGCCCCAATGCCAAACATCGCTTGCGTCACTTCATCCCCTGTTATCTCGCTGCCCAATCTTCTTACCTCCTCACTGCCTAGTTCAGCCCATATGTGATCGGTTCTGTGCCATATTCTCCTTTTATCCTCCTCCGTAAACAGTGAAGTATAGAAGTCCCTAACAATCTTAACTAGCTCACCTTCCTCTTCAATCCATAACCCCTCCTCATTCTTAAGCATATGAACCTTGCCCCTACGCCTTCTGTTCATGGTTTTTAAATGGTAATACCTCGTATTACGATCACCATTCTTTAACCATTCACCTCGCGAATTTTGGTACCAATGGAGCTCCTCCTGCCTCAAAACCTCCAGTAGCTCACTAGCAAGATCACATTCCAAACTTTCCAGGAACTTGTTCTTACCTCCATTCAACTTTCGTTGTATCCCCTCTATTCTTGCTGTCAGAGTTTTTATCCTCCAAGCAATGTGCCCAAAGACCTCCCTATTCCACCACTGCAGAGGCTTCTTAATGGTCTCCAAATTTTCCTGCACTTCTGTCTCCTCCCTCCATTCCTCCCTCAAAAATTCCTTGAATCCATGATGGGTTAGCCACATTGCCTCAAATCTGAATGGCCTTCTATAGGGGAGATTAGACGACACATTCAGTTCAAACAGGATCGGGTGATGATCAGAGTGCACTCGAGCTAGAACTCTTGCTGCCATACTCGGAAACTGCTCCTGCCACGCTATATTACACAATCCCCTGTCAAGCCTCTTAAAAACTCTATCTCTTCCTTGCCACTTAGGACCCCTCCATGTATAAAGGGGCCCCTCAGTTTCAATGTCAATCAACCCACAATCTTGTATCCAGTTCCTAAAGGTATTGCATCTTGTCATATTAGCCTCTGCACCACCTTTTTGCTCCAGCGGGGAAGCTATCTCATTAAAATCTCCGCACAGCAGCCAAGGTTCCCTGACTTCTCTTGAAAATCGTACTAGCCTCCCCCACAACGCATCCCGGTTACTCCCCTGAGGGTTGGCATATACAGCTGTGCATGTCCAGGCCCCATTCCCATCATTGAATCTCGCATGAATAAATTGGTCAGTTTTTTCAATGACACGCACTGACCACTTCTCATCTTTCCAGCACACCCAAATGCCTCCTGCAAATCCTCTTGCTTCCACCTTAACTGAATACTTAAACCCAAGTTCCTTTATTACCTTATCTGCCCTCCCCCCACTTATTCTGGGTTCAAGCAGAATAGTAATACTCGGCTTCCTCATCCTTAACATATTTTTACAAGCTAAGGCAAACTGCTTGCTTGCAGCGCCTCTACAATTCCACATCAGTAAGGACATTAATAACTAGCAGCCAGGTCCTTCCCCACTATGCCTCCCTGGCCATCCAGTCGTACTCCCATGTCATTTACTGATTGCATCTCATTTTCTACTATATCCCTCCAGTTCCTCCTCTGCTCTCCATCCCCATCAGGGTCAAATTGATTCATCAGTCCCTCACACCCATTGCGCCCTCTAGAAAGCACAATCTGACCCCCTGCGTTCTCCTCTTCCACTCCCCATTCTTTATGTACCTCCACCACTTCGTCAGTCTCCATGCAATCTTTCTGAAGTCTCATCTCCTCACCTACTCTTCTCTGAGCCGCAAAGAAATCCCCTCCTTCGCTCCTATCTTGCATTTTGTTTACCTTCCTAAACTCTGTTTTGCTCTTCCCGTAAGAACTTGCTTCAGCCCTCACCATGCGCTCGCTAGTAATATCCTTCAAAGCCTTCTTCCCTATCGTTCTTTTTTCAGTCCTTCTACCTTCCTCCATGCCTCCAGTACCTGTATTACTTCCACCCCTCACATTCTGCATCTCCCTCTCCCTCTGTTCTACCTCCACCCCGTTTTGTCGTAGAATTTCAAAACGTGATGGAGCGCCAACCGTATCTGTCATACTCCTAGGCCTCCTACCTCGCCTATTCCTCTGTACCACTCTCCAAAGTCCCCCTCCGTTATTATCCTCTGACTCCTTAGCCACACTGTTCCCATTTCTCATCATAGTATCCCCTCCTACTTCACTACTTGTCTCCTTTTCCTGCCCCTGTTCCACCTCCTTCTTGCAGTCCTCCCTCACATGCCCATACGTTCCACACGCTAAGCACAGTAGGTTCATGCTTTCGTACTCAATTGGATAGCACCTCCCATCAATAGCATAATGAGGCAGAAGCGGTTTCTTTAAATCCACCTCAACACAGACACGCGCAAAGCGGCCTCTCTTCCTCCTTGCCGTCGGTCCATCAACCTTTATAACTCTCCCAATCTCGCTACCAATAGCATAAAGAATTTTCTTATCATATAGGTCTATAGAAATAACTGGCAATCTTACCCATACTGCAACCTTGTCGATCACTTCAGACAGCGGATTAAAAGCAGGTTTCCATCGCATGACCACTAGGTATGAGTCCATCACGATCCACGGACCACCAGTTAATGCCAGCTCGTAGTCTTCCTTGCTCTGGAACTCAACCAAAAAATAGTCCATATCAATGTCGACTACATCCACCTTCCCTGCCTTGCCCCACATTTGCACAATCCTTGGCCCCAAGCTTCGGAGACTAACCGATTTACCAAGCAGCTTCACGATTAGTGTCGCTTGAAACGGCTGAGCCAGTCGCTCCCTCTCCTGTTTCTCCAAATGATATTAGGGCACAAAGGATCTGAACGATCCACAAGATATCCACCCCCAGTATCCTCCATAGATTCAAATCCTGTATCCACTGCAGAGAGCTCATCCAAACACCACTGCGACCCATTCGTCCCATGATTCATTAGTGAATCACGGTAAGACTTCACACCTGAGCCTCCACTTTCCCCCAAATCCTCCATCCACTTCTCCATTCTTGGCTTTAACGAAACCTCTCCAGTAAAAGTTCCATCCCCCCTTCGAACCTTTCGTTTGCTCCGATCGAGCGCATCCACTTCCTCCGCTGTGAGCTCCCCCCGATCGCCTCTTTCGCCGCCCTCAGTTGAGAGCATTTTCGCCTAGTTCTAAAATCCTTGGTCACCTAATTTAAGACTTTATTTGAATACTCAAGCACAAAAGCCTTCCCTAACTTATAATTAAAGTAAATAAGCTATTAAAAAAACAGGTAATGGCAATCTTCCTTTCCCCCCTCTTCAATTTCCTTTCTATTTTGGTCTAAAATGACAACAAAAATCACAAATCTGTAAGTTTCATGTAACCAATCAGGATTTGATAAATAAAACTGAAGATGTTTAGGAGATCAATTATTTAGTATACATAACCCGCACCTGAGTTGATAGTTTAAGAAAGCTGTAAAAATTTTTTATAAATAATACTACAATTAAAACTATACACATACTAACCTGGAAATTAACAGGAATCCAAAATTGTCAAGCAGGCTTCAGGTGACCAACTAAGATCTGAAAAATAAAAATAAGTCAAAGAAAGTTTAAGAGACAATATGTGTGTTACACACGCACATATATACATGTATTATAAAAAAAAAAGATATAAATATAATTCATAAGTATAGTGGAGTACAAATACTCACCTCTCAAAAGATGCCTTCGATATAAAGGCCTCTTTTTGTTTTTTTTTTTCGGTTTTTTAAGATAAGGGGACTACGAGAACAACGATTAAGGAGAAAAGATAATTTAAACACAAGCTTTTTTGGGTTTTCTATAAACAAAGATAACAATGTTCCACCAAAATTAAAGTAGAAAATAATTCACATTAACACAAAATAAAGCTTAAAAAATACAGGCTCCTTCAATAGACAAACTTTGAAAAAGAAGACAAAACTCTAAAATGCAGGCTCCTTCAGAACCTCTCAACTGAAACTTCTCTCTATTTTGCCTCCACTAAAAAAACCACGTTGTTGAGTTTTGAACTAAACAAATGAGAAAAATAGATTTTAGAAAGACGGATCATTTAGAACCGAGTGTGGGAGCACCTGATGCGTGCTTGGGGGGCCTCTTGTGGGCGCTCTTAAGCCCTATATCGGATGGGTGAGTGTGTGCGTTAGTGTGTATAAGTAGGTAAGGTGACTGTTTGGGTACCACCCGCGTTAGGTGTTTTCCCTTCAGTCCCTTGTCCCAAAAAAAGAAAGACGGATCGTTTTTTCAGTGGAGGCAAAACAGACAGAAACGCTGCAGTGGAGACATTCCAGTTATTATCATAAATAGTAATTTGTAACGCATGCTTCACCAGTTCGCCTACCACAATCTTTTTAAATTTACTTTTATTATTATTATTTTTTTTTTACATTCTCAACTTTCTCTCTTTTTTTTCCCCAGCAATCATTAAATCCTCCTTCCGTAACACCCCGGAGAGTCCCAATAAGCACACTTTGCGCCTGCTATTGTGCGAAGCGGCAGAAGCCAATGAGAATGTTCTTGGTTGGTCCAGAAGCCAAGAAAATTTAATAAATAAAAATGAAAATATTTACGAGGTTAAATATAAAGATATATAAAAAGTTCAAAGGCCAAATACTACACACACTAATTAACATATATACACATATATAGTGACTTCGGACTTGAGATTATCGGGCAGGAGCATTAAGGTTAAAATTTTCTCAACAAGTACATTTCTAGACATTCATACAGAGATAAAATTGCTTATCTTTTCAATCAACAACTTGTTGGTTAGTAAAACGTAGTTTTTATTTTAAATAAAATATCCTAACGACCTTTTTATTTTACCTTGATCACACAAGCACCTCTTTTATTTTTATAGTGATAAAATATATTTTTAGTTCTTTAATCTTAAAATCATTAATCTTAAATGATAAGTTTTTGTAACAATCATGGTTGTTTTGAAAATTAAATTTGATATGTTAACATTTGATAATAATATTTTTATCAACATTTAAAATCTTAATATTGTCTTTTTTTGCTAACAGTTTTAAGATTAAATGGTCAAAGATATACTTTTTAAAGTTAAAGAACCAAATTAAAGCATTGTATGAAATTAAAGAACTAAAAATATTAATACTATTAAAGACCATTTTAAAATATTCTAAAGGTATATTTTAAATTAAAAATATATTAAAATAAATCTTATTTACGAGTTTCCCCTCATCCTACTAAATCTTTAATTTATTTTTTGGACAGAAGTGACCACCCAAGATCTAATATATAAAAATAAGCCAAAGAGAGTTTGAGAGACAATGCATACACGTTGGCAAAAAAAAAAAAACAAAAGGAGATAATGCATACACATGAATATTGTTTACATTTATAAAAGAAGATGCAAACACAAGTCGTAAGTATTATGGAATACAAATTCTTACCTCTCAAAGATTTCTACGTGTGTTCCCGCCTGAATGGTTTTGTTATAAAAGCGTTTTTGTTTTTTTTTTTTATGAAAAGCAATTATGAGTATGAGAACAACGATTAGGCAGGGGAAAAAAGAAAGATTTGAGCACATCAAATAATTTATAAGATACTTTCAAATTTCTTGAAACTTGATGTAAAAACGTCGCATATATCCCTTGCCTTTAACTTCCGTTGACAATGGTTTTTTTTTTGGGGGGGCCTTGCGTTGACCAAACTTCAACAACCGCTGTACAGTCAAAAATAAAATAGTAAATTTATAATTTACAAAATTGAAACATAGCATATTTAAAAGTAAAATTTAAATTCTTAGATTTATACGTGAATTTATATAAAAATAATAATTTAATATTTACATGTTAACTTCATATATTTAAAGGTAAATCTACACAATTTTTGTATTGGTTTTTCAGATTTTACAAAGCGATTTAAAAATAAATAATTTTTAAATTTACAAGTCATCCTTTTAATTTTATGTACAAGAATATATAATTTATAATTTCGTAAGATAAAGAACACTTAGGGCCTTTTGTAAATTTAAAAGATAATTTGTAGGTTTAAGAAATTGAACAGTAAATGAATTTGTAAAATTTGAAGAACCAATGCAAAATATATATAAATATATATATATATATATATAAATGCAACTGAGAGAGAGAGGGGGGAGGGGGGGAGATGTATCAAATCAGGGATGAGATGCACCCCCTCCGGCCAAAAACCAATGAAAAAAAAACCGGACCGAACCGGCCGGTTCAACCGGTGAACCGGTGAACCGGCCAGTGGTCCGGTCCGGTTAAAGCAATGAACCGGTCATAAAATGAACCGGCATCAACCCGGTCAAACCGGGATAAACCGGTGCAAACCGGCAAAAACCGGTAATGAACCGGTTTGAATGATATTTTGCTATTTATTTTATTTTTTCTTATTCAACTCCTAATATTTCAATCACTATATATTTAAATAAATTTTAATAATAATTTTGGTATTAATAATTATTAATTTTAGTTATTTAGAAATCATAAAGATCAAAATCCTTAATGTTATTGTATTTTGTTTTAATTACAATCAAATTATTGTTGTATTTCCTTACATTTTGTTATTAGTGATTATTAATATTGCTATACTTTGTTATTTTTAATTAAATGTATCATTTTAATGTGACCGGTTTGATCCCGATCTGACCCATTGACCTTTGAACTACTACCTCAACCGGTTTAGTGTCTGGTCCGGTTTTTTGTTCATTGCCAAAAACAGGGAAAAAAGAAGAGATGTATCTTATCCGAACGAGATTGGAATTATCTTAAATTTTTTGAATGATAAATTTTCAAACAATAAATTTATTTATTTTAAGAAAGTGAGGGTTAAAAGACTATTTTATTTAAAATCACACACTTATTAAAATAAATAATTGTTAAAATATAAAATAAAATAATATACATTAAATATGAACCATATTTATTTGGGAGAATTACAATCAAGTTCTAAAAATGAGAAATAATTATTAAAAGATTCTAATAAGAACTGTAATGACAAGTTCTAAAGTGGAGAATGACAACCTCTGAAACTTACTTTATAATTTTTTTCTTTGGGACCTTATTATAATTCTCCCTGTTTATTTTGTTCTAAAATTGAATTAGCTTTATTTGAATATAATCACTGGTGTAGTCAAATTATAGAGATGTAGTATTACGGATAGTACGCCTAATTTGAGACTTTATTTGAGTACTCAAGCACAAAAGCCTTCCCTAACTTATAATTAAAGTAAATGAGCCATAAAAAAACAGGTAATGGCAATTTTCTTTCCCCCCCCCCCCAATTTCCTTTCTCTTTTGGTCTAAAATGACAACAAAAATCCCAAATCTGCAAGTAAGTTTCATGTAACCAATGAAGATTTGATAAATAAAACTCAAAATGTTTAGACAATTAAATATAAAAATATTTAGTTTGCACAGCCCACACCTAAGTTGATAATTTAAGAAAGCTGTAAAAATTTTTATAAGTAATATCCACAATTAAAACCATACACATACTAACCTGGAAATTAAAAGGAATCCCACATCTTCAAGTAGGCTTCAGGTGACCAACCAAGATCTGAAAAATAAAAAATAAGTTAAAGAAAGCTTAAGAGACAATATGCTTGTGACACGCGCATATACATGTATTTAAAAAAGGATATAGATATAATTCATAAGTATGGAGGAGTACAAATAGTTACCTCTCAAA